TTTGTGCTGACATTACGATGAGAAAATCAATACTTGCCTACAGGTACCACACAGTTGCCCATGCCCTTTCCTTGTAAGTCTGGGGGAGCCACTGACATTTTTAATAGTCTCAAGTGTTAGGCTTGCTAAACAAGCTATTTAAAGTAATTCTTCCCTGAAATGGGGCAAGGAGGATTGTACTGGCACCGAGAGCCCTGACTGTTCTGGAGGGCTTCACTCCAGCAATGAGGCTGGGCTTGGCTTACCACCTCAGACAGACCTGTACACTACCACGCTGTACTCAGGGCAGACCTGCACAAGGCTGCCCACCTCTGCACAGCAGAGGTTCTGCAGGAGGACTGCAGTGGGAGGGAAGCATCGAGGGATGGTGCTTGCAGGCCTCTATTTTGCCTTTCTTCTTTTTTTTTTTTTTTTAAGCAGAAGCCGAGTTTGAGAAGAAAAGATTTGAAAAAGGAGATCTATGAAATAAAATTCTTGGCACTTCTCAGCTTCTCTTTACTACTTTTCCTGCACATATGACAGCATGTGTTAATTGATCCTCGGACAGAGGAGTTGCTCCTCAAGTCACAGGAAGACAAACAGTGGCTATCTGAGACCACAGGAGCAGCTTGGAGTGGGAGCTCTTCTCTGGGACTCAGGTGGCTTTGTAACTCCTGCCCGTCAATTAGCATGGAACAAGAGTCTTTCCTTGGAGGCATGAACTGTACTGACCAGCACTGGAAGGGAGCAATGAATGAGACCTCAGACAAGAGCAGACCATGTTGCCTCCCCATCATCTGCACACTGCATTTTTATTCTGGAGATAAAATTTTCTTTTAAAAAATGTCTGCAAATGAAATAAGGAACAGGCTTTGCATGCCTGACTTATGACTCTAGCTCCTGCTCCAGCAGACATGGATCTACTTCAGAAAACAGTAGGGTTGAGACCTGCAGGTAAAATTTAGCCTTTCAGTCCAGCAACTATGAAATCTATTTCAAGCTACTTCTAATTGAACTGACTGCCACTGGCACTAAAACACCTCTTGGAACATGTGCTGGCTTTGCAGAAGTTGAGATTTTGACTCCCTGGTTCCCATTTGATGAGAAACACTTGCTTTTTCATAACTCTATGGGCAAGTGATCTATCAGGGGTGATCATTAAAAGAGAACTCAGATTGATCCTCCTGACAAATTCTGCTAGAATGGCAAAACCACTATGTGTATAACCTTAAACTCATTTACCATTACCTGGTCTTATTCATATCTCTGAGGTTTGCAATTCACTGCAAGGAGGGGTTCTACTGACAACTAGACAACTAGAAAACCTCAAGGTAGAAAATGCTAAGAGCATCAACCATTCCATAATTAACGTCTCTTTGCAAACATTATGAAACAATAAAATAGTACCATATTCTGAAAGTTTTAATAGGAAATAAAATGATTTTACTTTTGTCTTGTTGGTCTCAAATCATCCACTTTTTCTTCCGTGGGGGAGCAGGGCTGCTTGGCTCTAGAGTGCCTTATTGCTGCTCTGTTATCAGGATTGTATTCACACTGAAACTCTCACAGAAGCAGGCAATGTAGGCGTATTTGGGTCGTGTTTCAGGTCATGTGCCAGTTTAACACGGACTGAAATTCAACTCCTACTGCTTCACAAACCCAACTCTTTACCTCCAGAGATGGAGGGTGGCAGTGGTGGCTTCTTCTCCATTATTTTTCCTGGACATTTGAGATTTCTGACTACATTAAAAAAATGTCCACCAGAATATCCATCACCCACTTGCATTTTGAAGTATGTGACTATGCAACCATTTCACACTTATTCCACCTGAATAGTCCACTCCAGGCCAAATTCCAAGAAGATGCCAACACCTATTTTTAGTCTTACCTTACCTCAGCTGTTGGCAAAGAAATATGAATTCTTACTCTAAGACACTGGAGGGCCTTTTTAAACTAAATGTAGTTGTTTTGAATAGACATCACTGAATCCTGGTTGTTTTGTGTTTACTTACCTTTTCTCTAGGACCAGATCCAAAATGAAATAACAGAGGTTTCATACAGCATTTCATCTGAGAACACTGTTTACTCTTCAAGCTCAGTTAACTTACAGGAAATTGCCACTAAGGATGCCAAGGACATCTCTACAACCTTCACTATGTCACTAGAGGGACTCATTTCTAATAAGTATTTCCTAGTATAATCAGAATTTTTCTCTTCATGCCCTGTCTCAGACATACTTTGAAATCCGTAAGAGGAATCAGTCATTGTTGTCCAACTCTTCACTGAGAAGGTGAGAATTTGTCTGTGAAACATTTCCAGAATTGGAGTGATCGACACCATGGAGCATAGCCATTATATAACAGAAGCAGAATTACTCCCTTCACAAATTATTTGGAAATATGATCATGGTTCCTACTGAGATAGAAGGGAAGCTGTCATACTTCTAAAAAGCGACAGACTGACAGATAAGCAAGAAGAGAAGTTTCCAGATTGGGAAAGGGGATTCCCTGAAAGGAAGACCATTGCATCAATCCTAATGGCCAAAACCTGGCCCTTAATGTGACACCAGGCTGGACAGTAGGTGCAGTCCCCAAGTTCCCTGGGAACTTGGATCTAAACTAAAGTTCCCTTCCGGACTATACCAGCGGGTTTCTTTTCCTTGGAAATCAGGGTATTTAGGGAGAATAGGCTGTTCTGTGCTCAGATTTCACCAAGGTACAAGGTTTATGTCTGACTGGAGCACTCAAGTTCAGCAGCTTGAAAGAGTTCCAGGTTCTTTAAATTGTCCAAGGAAGCACAGTTTTCCTGACAGCCCAAATGCAGGCACAGATAGGATGAAATACGCATTTCTACTTTGTTTACCAAGTTGAACAAACCTTGTTTGTAAAAACCACAAATGCTAATTGCACCTCAGTCTTCTGACTGAGTAGCTGTAACTAGCAGGTGAATCACACAGACAGCTCCCTCAAATGGCTGATGAACTTAGAACACCATAGTCGGTATTTAGGGCTACACTCTGACCCTGCATTCTACTCATTCTATTCTAAGAGAAGATGGAAAGATGAAGAACCACCCTTTAGGGTTAGTCAAAGACTGAAGGAGGAGGCAGAAGTGCAGGTGACATATAAATGCTCTACAGTGGTGGCTGTTGACCATTACTGCTCTTACGAGCCATCTGAAGCCATTTCTAGGTTGCTGCTCTAAGGGACTTCAAAATGTCATATTGCCTCTCCTCTGGTCTCAAGATGAGATCGACTGTGCCAGCATCTTTCCTGAGAGACAGCAGCCTAACCCTGTTGACTTAAAAAATTATGGAGGCTCTGCTGTCTCCCCAGGCAATCTATCCCTCACGTTTCACTGTTACATAACTTCATGTCCTTTCCTGCAACTTAAGTCCATTAGTTCTTAAGGCTGGAGAACAGCCTGTCCCTTCCATTTTGCAGCTATTTCTATGTGTTTGATAAAGGTTATCGTGTCTCCACTCAGTCTCCTCTACTCCAAACCAAGCAATCACAGTTTCCCAGTTCATCACACAGAAGCCAGGCTGCTGCTGGCTGGTGATAGCTTTCAGTAACTGCTGACTGGGCTGGATTTGTACCAGCAGCCTGTAGGTGAAAGCCTTCGGCAGCTTTAGCTCTCTGAGCCAGGCTGTCCTTTCAAAGACGTGAAACTTTTTTCTGTAATTCATTACAGTGCATCAGCAAATACACATTACAGTACAGTAAGTTTCTGGAATTTTCTCCATCACATTAGGATATCATAACAAGAAGAAAGGAAAATATGCCTTATTTCATGAAAGTGCATTTTAGGGCCAAACTTAAAACAGGATTCCCAATAGGTCTTGAAGAGTGGAGAGGGAAAACAATATATTGTGTTAACACCTTCCCCATTCCAACCCCTTTACCGAGCAAATTAAATGAAATGCATGAACCGTGTCTCGGTTGGCAAATGAAACTTGGTATTTGTATTTGCTGCCATGTCTCAGAGTGTTGTTTTTCATTTTAGACTTTGCATGGTGGTAAACACTGCAATGCTTTACATTCATTAAGCTTGGGCCCATTTAGCCTGTGCAGGCAAAGCAAGTGCATATATCTCAGACCCATAAAGCATCAGTTCAGAATTACACAGGAAATAAATGAGACTAAGCCAGAAGTCCAATTTCCAGAGTCCAGCTCACTAAAGCTAAACAAGCATCTTAGATAAATATGGTCTATTCTAAATGAAATGTTAGTGTAATTTGATAACTGTCAATAATTCCCTCATTATGGCTAAATGAGCTTGTCATCCAAGGAGATTGCTGTATGGCTGATCTTAATTTGCTAATAAAAACTGCAGAGAAGAATTTCAGCTAAACTGGAACTATTTGATTCATAAAAGTGCAACAGTGCACTTTTCAAAGCATTCCTTCCTAGTCCTGACTCCTGACTGGTTGAAGCCCAAAACCAGTTTGCTCTGCAGCCTGTAAGAAGGCCACTTTGCTATGTAAGAACAATGAGTGATTGTCTCTCTAAATCACTGTTCTTCCTTATCCCATTATAGTTAATTTATTTTTAATCATGTTGTATAATAGAAATAAAATCATTGGATTAAGCATATATCTAGCAGCGGGAGCCCATTATCCTTTGACAATGTTCTGTTTCATTGACATTATATCTTCACTGTAGACAGTTTCCTTGCCATCATTAGTCCTAAAACGGCTATTGGATTTCAAGGGTTTCTCCCTAATCCATAATAAGATTTACTTGCTAACAGCACGAAACAAAACAAAGATATGCTTCTATTGTTTTACTGCTGTGGAATACTTACTTTAAGCTATTCAGAAAAGTCAACTACAAATCCAGATATTATAAGTATTTAAAGTTTTCCTGCATAATTCTGATTCAAGGGAAAGCCTCAGCAACTTTGTAAGCTTTGAATCTTTGTGGCTTTATTTTACTTAAGCAAGCAACAACACTTTGTCAGTTCTTGAACCAAATAAGATCTATTATTTCTTGCACAATGATTTTTTTAGACCAGTTAAAGCAAATCTCAGTACAGTCCATTTTCTCCAGAAAGGGCTACAAGGGATTCATCAGATTTTATGTGAAGAAGGAGGCAGAAACTCTCCTGCTAAGGTTGCCAGCAATTCCTCTGTGGTAAGTGCTAGCAAACAGTCAGCACTAACGTTGGGAGGTTAAAAACTCCTTTGGTATGCTGATCCCCACGGGATAATTCAACAGTTCTTCATTTGTACCAATGGCAGTCACAGTTAAATCTAAAACTAGGGTTTTTTTACACCCTATTAACAGCAGCATTAGAATGCAGCAGGGACCATCCAGAGAAAAGCGCCTTTTCTGTTATCTCTTAGTTATCTTTGAGGAGGTGGAAGATTTCTCTGTGAAAATTATCCTTAGAGATTGCCTCTTATTTAAGGATATGCTGGCACTATCAAGTGGTGCTCTTTTTATGCTGAAATTGCTAGCAACACTGAAGAGTCTCTGCATGACTCTTTCATCTGGGAGAGCAGCTTCAATAGATATCTATTTTCCATATATGCAGACAAGCTATGACACTTTCACCCATACTGACATAATCCGCATAAGCCATATGGTTTCCAATAAGAGGGGTCCATACAGTACAGTCAATTCTCCATTATCTTGGCTAATAGGAGAATAGAATAACCCAGACAAAGGAAAGACATGCATAATTATTGCTTCCAGATAAGAGCTGTCTCAAATATTTTTGCACTGTGCTCCCCAGACAGAGCTTGTACATCTGTCAGAGCTTGACAACTTAGAGTTTATTAACTCAGGTATTACCTGCATCCGTCCGATACAAGCAAGGCAGCTTGGGCGTCTCCATGATTTAATCACTCCATAAGTATTCTACTAACTGAAAATCATTTGGGCTATAATTAAATAACAACTTCCATATTCACCATTTTATATGTTCTGATACTAACACAGCATAGACCCAGTCACGCATGAAAAAGTCAAGGTTGAATGGGGAATAAAGAGGAAAAGCGAATTATACATGAAATGCAAGAGGAGTATGTTCAAAACACAAGGGAATGCACAAGGCACACAGTGATGTAGAAGGGCTAGTGGAATTATCTTATTCCCAGATAGCACTCACAGAGGAAGCACGCTCAGGACTGTCACAGGTAGCGAGTGTGAATCAGAACTATCTTTCTACGTGAATTGTCAGAGATTTCTTTTTTATTGTGTTGCAATTACTCAGACACATTGAACTTTTGTCAGTTGAGAATTCTCATAAGGTGTAATCTCTGAGACCTTTTAGTACCAATACACAGCCTTCCTGATCTCAGCACTGGTATACAAATTGTATTGTTCAGTCACAAGAGACACTTAGTTCTGTTACAGATATACAGACAAAACTGTGTCTTTACCACTATAGAAAGAAATACAGATTCTCTTACAAAGAAAATGAAAGTGTCACAAATAATTTCTTCTGGATTCTTATGGAAGGAAAGGCATCATAAAGAAATAAACTCAGACTTACTAAAATCAGCAACATCATTTCTTAAACACTGAAGTGAATCATCTTACGGAAACAAAACCATTGCCAGATAAATTTTTAATGGTATACTTGTACATGGCACTGATTTGAGGAATTGATGATTATATTCTGCCACATTCCATGTTGCATTTACAAATTAGCATTGCCTTGGTTTGTCTGCACATTACATCTAGACGGAGGTACACAACGAGGCAAGACACAGGCCAAGCTGTAGAGGGAAAACTGATGGGTTAGAGAAGTCAGCCATCTCATGTGACATAACTGGCTACAGAAAGAGCAACTGACAGCAAATCACAGTGCCAGACATATCAAATCCCTAAATATCTGTTCATTTTGCTTAAAGCATCACATACAGTATTCAGATCACTGCGCAGGTCCTGGACAACATTTTCTATACTCCTGGTATCCTTCAGAATCTCAATGCTTTGCGTATATGGATTGAAATACACGGAGAAGGGACGATTGATTGATTTGGCAAAGTCCCTGAAAGAAAAAAGAAAACAAACATTTTTTTTTTTCAACCACTGAAGAAGAGACATTTAGATTTTTGAGTCAGGGGAAATAATTTACCTCATCTTTTCTTTGGCTTCTTCAAAACTTTCTGAAACAAAGTAAGCCTCCTGGAAAGTAGTGATAAGGCATTCTTGCAAACAGGTTGTCTTTGGATCGAATGCTTTCACATTGGCCTTGTCAGAGAGAGCATGCTGCAAAATATACCACAGGATCTGTTAAACTGTGTTTTGATACTGCTGTGTGTCTACATACAATTGTTCATATATACAGCTTTTATATCACTATGCTGTTTCCCACTAGCTGGTAGCCCCTCTTATTTTACATACAATGTTTTTTTCAGTTTGAACAGTGAACATGGTGAATTTGCTACTTAAAAAAGCTCTCACTGTGGAAGAATTTTTTTCCCCTAATAAAGAAATAATAAAGAGGAGATTAGAAATGCACCTGCCATGAAAACATAAAGACCTAAATGTTCAGCTGGAAATAGGAAAGTCATCAAATAACCATTCTTGAAAAATTATCTGTACAACTGCAAATATGTATGTCCCCAAAATGTCATTTAACTGGCAGAATTCACCACTGTCTTGGTGAGTAAATTGAGTCTCACCAAACAGTTCAAATAATCTGTGCTTTACATTTTCAAGCCAAAATCATATACTATTTTCCTGACAGTGAAAGTGAAACTATATATCTGAAAACCCATTAAATAATGCCAGTGTACTGCATGGTGATAAATGCATTGCCCTTCTATCACATACACCCAAGCAATAATGCTCCATATAGAACTGCAAAGAAAACAAACAGACACAGGTAAGTACAGAGAAGATACTGGGCTGATGAGGCATCAAATGCTGCTATCCAGAGTGAGTAGAGATTTCTGATTAGCCTTTCTCTTTAAATGATTTGCACAAGCCACTAGAAAGGACACAGAGGTTTCAAAACTGAAAATCAGGTACTGAGACATTTTCCAACACAATCTTTTTCTAGCTCCCCTTTCAACTTGAATACTTGTGTTAGCTTTTGGATCTACCTTATCTTCTAGAGCATACCTATTTTCATTCTCAGTGCTCTGTTACAGCAGTGCAAGTAAGGAAGGAGAGTATATTTAGGTCACCTTTCAACCTTCTTTAGTCCCCTGATATCTACACACAGTGAAGATGTGCATGAAAATCATAAAGAAAGGACAGGGAGAAAGCAGATCCCTGAGGTCCAAAGGTGTCTCTGATTTCTTTACTTTCTATCTGCATGGACATTCTTTATAGCAGAGTAAGGTATTAACGTTAAGGTATTCACCATGACTTTTATCCATGCTCTTGCTTATGCTTGTTCCTAAATCCCTGTGAAAGGCACTGAAAATATCACACTAGCTCTCAACCTGCAATCTCCAAATAACAGGACAGAAAACTGGAACAAGAGCCTCTTCCTCCCATCTCCTCTCTCTCCAAAAATAAATACATGAAAAATTAATGCATGGAATCATGAAATGTCAGAGAATTACCTTTCTTTAGTACATGGATCTTTTCCTTCTCACAAGGTTTGCTGTTTCTAGCCAGCCAGCAGTTGAACAGGTTTGAAAACAAATATTAAAAATGGTCTGTCAACGAGCATCCTCTTCTAAATGGACTGCAGGATCAGGCTCACCTTATTAGGCTCCTGCCTATATCCCTGCTGTCACTTTCTCTTTGCAGAGCCACAATACAAGCAAATGCTTGTAAATTTAGGCACCTACCTCCTTCTATCACAATGAATTTGCTTTTCTTCACTGAGAACTATAATAGATTCCTTTGGAGGTTAACTATAGATTAAAAAAAAATCTCCTCTTAAGGTGCCTTTGGACTTCCAGGTGAGACTTGATGCTTCAAATGTCTGCAGCACAAAGTTTTAAAACTCTGACAGGACTGAGTGAAGCCCTATGAAGGGAATCAAAATTATGACACATGCCATGATTTGGCAGGAACCGAATCAGTAGGTGACCACTTCTGGCTCATGGATTCTTTCCTGTACTGTGAAAGTTTCAACAGCAAGGGATGACACTGTTATCTTCTCTACTTACTAATGGCCTCTGCTGGGCCAGGTCTAGTCCTTGGGACTAAAGCCATCAGAGGTAAGAAGGGATTCAGCCTGTGGCTCCTACATCATGAACAACTGCTCTAGTCAGTGAGCCCTGATTTTATAAAATGACAGAGTTTAAAGAGGAGAAAAGCTGATCGGCTATCAGAGGGGATGTCCTCTAAGAAAGCCTTTCTAGCTATTCTCCTCAGATTAACCATATGAAATGACTTATACTTTCTGGATCCCAGTTTAGTTTACAATGAGCAGAGCTGTTGCTTCACAAAGCAATTCTGCAGAGACTGGGATGTGAGGACACCAGAGAACGTGTAACCTGGAAACAGAGGGTAAAGAATTCAGACATGCCTTCAAAGTTAGGTGACAACTGATCACTTATTCTTAGGATTGCAGTTTGGGAATGAAGCGCCTACATTCTGATGAATTCCCACCTGAGACACCTTTCTCCCTTCTAGGACGCAGTCTTTGGTTCTTGGATCAATTCGGCATTGTCATGGCTACCAAAGCAATGTTTCCACCTTTGCAAGTCTGGGTGGTGTTTTCAAATTCCACAGCCTGGCATCTGTAACATCTGCTATTGAGCTGATATGCTGACACCAGCAATGCCAGACTTCAGCAACCGAACTAAGCCTGCAGACAAACCTTCAGAGAGATCATAAAGTGTTTGGTGTGAACTAGAATGGTCAGGACACTGACTCAAAGCCGACTAGAGCATTTTTCAGAAACATAACAGTGTTCTAAAATGTTGGTCCTTGGCATTCTCAGCATTATGAAGTAAGCAATCTCAACAAAACAACTTGGTCTGGTGAGTCCAAAAGCTTTCAAGTTCATGTTATTCATAGAAACCTCTTTTGTTATCCCCCTCCAATGACGTGTCAGGGCTAATACTCATAAGGAAAATAGGCTTTGGTAAAATAGAGCATCTTACCATCTTGTGGATCTGTAATAACTGTCTCTAATGGCCCATTCACACGAATCATATGACTGTTTATACCAATAAAACTACTGGTGATTCTCCTTCAGTTTGAGAAGTAAGAATTTGGAGTGAAACTTCCAAATGAATCACCACCAATTCTCAGGAAAAGCAGCAGTATCAGACAACTGGACAGCTTAAGAATTAGACAAATACCCATTACAGGTCTCTCGGGTCTAGGTTGTCTGATGCATTGTACAGAAGATGGAAGATATAGCACAAGATCAAAAGAAGACTTATATGATTCTGCAGTAGCAGCCAGTCAGAAATACTGGGGCATGTCAGATGGCACCAGGCATTTACACACTGCACAACAATGAATCATTTCTTAAGTGACCGCTATCACTGACACATGAAAAAAGAGTTTGGTCTTGTAATTTCTCTTGAGTATAAAAAATGGAGTGTAATGATACAACTCGGAGCTTTTCAGATTTGAGAAAAAATAAACAAGACAAAAACCAAAAAGTAAAATTTTCAGCCAGTAAGGGGAAAACTTGAGTTGAGAAGTTGTGTGGTGTACCAGCACCTTTATCGTCTTGTTATTCCCGGTAGAGCACGTATAGCCTTGGAAAACCTGCTCTTAAATGTTTTCCTGCTCATCTACAATCTAAGTTGCAAATCTGACAGTGTTCTGATACTACCAGAAAATTTTTTTCAGCTGTATAATTTTATATATTGTTTAGACAAATAAGGAAAATACTTTCTAAAGAGTACTAAAATGAGTATCTGGGATCCAGGAGTTGTTTTCTTCATCCTCTACAGAAAACAGAGCCAAATTTGCATTTGAATCTTTCTGGTGTTAAAGGCTAATGCTGTCTCTTCTTAAAATAAATGATCATTAAAACAAAATAACACAGCTGGATATTGTATTTGGCCTTAAAAATTTATACAGAAAAATTTGAAGACTACTCTCCGTTTAATATAGAAGCATACAACAAGGATATATGACTTGATCTACAGCCAACTGAAGTGGATAGGAGACTCCTTTAATGAAAGAGTTCAAGAGAGCATCATACAAAGTAAATGCATTAAAATTTCCAAAGACATTTGAACTGCCTTTTAGAAATAGTTTTAATAATTGAAATGTACATTATTTCCACCTTATCTCTAAGCCCCAAATACATACTGTGTAATAGTGTTAGCTAGAGTTAACCTGACTATATTAAGCAGAACATTTTATAACTACTTACTGTATTATTCGTTTCCCCCAGGCTTCATTTTTAATCTTCTCTTTCTCCTTATTTTGTTGTGCTTTCAAATTTTTTTTACTTGATGTTTCCCTAGTATGCACATCAGGAGATGCACTTTTCAGTATCTGAAATTTTAAGTCTAAATACTGAGTGGGGAAAAAAAATTGAAGGGAATCTTATATTGATAGGTTGGTGCCCACATTGCTCTAGCTTTTACAGTTCTTTGTTACTAAAGCTGTTGACCAGATTTGCAGAGTAAAGCAGTGTAATAAAGAAACAGGGAAGACTGAACAAGCCATTCACTGCACTGAAAGGACCAAATACTGCTGGCCGTTTATACCCTGCAAACAGTGTGGCTCATTAATTTCTAGAAATTTCTAGAAATTAGACATAAAATTGGCCACCATGTTATTTCCTGTGAATACCACTGCATTGAAAAGAGAGATGATGGGGATAGCAGTTGGAGAAAGACTTTTCTTCTTGCTCGCAAAAGCATATTAATAACAAATGCCTTTGCAGTCTTGAGTGCACCCTCAGTAAATTTGGAGACATGACCAAGCTGGGCATGATTATTGTTCTGCTGGAGGACAGGAAGGCTTTGCAGAGGGATATGGACAGGATGGATTGATGGGCCAAGGCCAATCATTGAGGTTCAACAAGGCCAAGTGCCAGGTCCTGCACTTGGGTCGCAACAATCTCATGAAGAGCTACAGGCTTGGGGAAGAGTAACTGGAAAGTGGCCCAGTGGAAAAGGACCTGGGGGTGCTGGTTAACAGCAGCTGAACATGAGCCAGCAGTGTGTCCTGGTGGCCAAGAAGCCCAGTGGTATCCTGGATTGTATCAGCAATAGCATGGCCAGCAGGACCAGGGCAATGATTGTCCCCCTGCACTCGGCACTGAGGCCACATCTCGAGTCCTGTGCTCAGTTTTGGGCCCCTCACTACAAAAAGGATACTATGGCACTGGAGCGTGTCCAGAGAAGGACAATGCTGAGGTAGCTGGGGTTGTTTAGTCTGGAGAAGAGGAGGCTCAGGGGAGAGCTTATCACCCTCTCCAACTACCTGATAGGAGGTTGTACTGAGGCGAGGGTCAGTCTGTTCTCCTGAGCAGCAAGTGACAGGACAATTGGAAATGGCCTCAAGTTGCCAGATGAGGTTTAGACTGGATATTAGGAAGAATTTCTTCACTGAAATGGTTGTCAAATATTGGAATAGGCTGCTCAGGAAAGAGATTGAGTCACCAATCTTGGAGGTATTTAAAAGATGTGTGGATATGGCAACTTGAGGACACGGCTTAATGGTACATGTTTTCACTCTGACACCTATGAGAAGTACATGTGTTGCACACACGAGGGTGAGACTTCCTGGCCATGCAATCTGACTCTCCTACTCATCCCCACTCACCAGTGAAATAGCCAGAATCATCATCATTTTCAGAAGAACTGCTGCCATCCATTAGGATTTTGGTTATAATCAGGATATTGATATAATCAGGATCTCCAGAACAATCTATTAGCATGATTTAGCAGAAACCTTCAGGTCAAGGAAGAAATTTTCCCTCCCAATAGGTGCTAAAAGAAAAGGCTGGTAAAACTAAAAACTAAAACCATCACAGGGAGGTTGTTTTCCCTCGAAACAGCAGAGACTGGCAATGGCCTGATGCAAGGCTGTGCACTGAACTCACAGGTGCCCAGACATTCTCCTACCTAAGCACCTGCCTGATGTACCTTGTTGACAAGAAGCACATTCATTCCTGGCTTGTGGTCTAGAAACAGCTTCTCCCATGGCTATTTTAGCAGAAAACTTAGTAGTTTTTTGCAATTTTTTTCCTTACCTTTTACCTTCTTTTCTACTCTGGAGCACAGTCCCACAAAGGCTTTCAGGACATTTTGCACCTTATCAGGCCCTTCATGGAGACTATGTCTACTTGTGGTATGGTGCTGCTCTGTTCCCAAAATACACAGATTTTAAGTAACCAAAATGTCTAATTTAAGTCTCTAAGCATATGCACAATCTGGTGAAATGTAATATCTTACGATACACAAGAGGTCAAACCAAATGGTCTAATAGTCCCTTCAGGCATCATATCTACGAGATATATATGTAGTGTAATAGAAAAGTATATAATATTACTGATTTATGGCAAAATTACTATGATTGATATATATATATATATATGGCCATACCTTTGAAGCAGATCAATATAGTTCATTATTGTGCAGATTATTTAATTTATACTGCTGCTTTTCAAAAGGATTATTCTTTGCACTTATACTCTGAGATTATTGCTGAGTGAAGAATACAGATCAAATGTGTGATACCAAAACATGCACACTTGACAAGAATAATGTGTTTGTTTATAACACTGACGGTAGAAGACTTATTATGTTCTTGACTATTCATTTCCTCATTTTTATGCCCTCAGATTTTGTAAATGATGTGATAGGTATTTTCAGGGTCATCACCTAGCGACCATATCTCTTAGTTTAAATAAAAGGCCTGATTCTTTGCAAAATACTGCACAGAGTTTGGGGCTCAGCACTGAAGGTTGTTAGGCCAGAGGAAAACAAGCAGGACATTTCCATCTCTTTGCATTTAACCATCTCTGCGCTGTGAGTACAGAATATTGCCAGGCAGATAAAGAATACTTCTTTGGCTGAAGTATGCACAGAACTTAGAGCAACTCTAATGCAATCAAAGCAAAAATACTGGAGAAGGTAATTTTCTTCAACCTTTTTCCTACTACTGAAAGAATACCAGTTTGACTAATGAGCTTCACCACAAATATTCTGTTATGGGTGAAATAAACAGCAAAAAGACACTGAGGTACTTCTATTGAACTACCAGATAGTTCACTGAAAGCCAGCCCAGGAAGTTGGGAAGATGTTTTAACACAAATAAACAATAGACATACTGCAAAATAGCTTGAAATACTATTCAATATATACTTTTGAAAAACAACTATTTACCTGCAAAGCCACCAAGAGTTTATTTGGGTCCCTGAAGATAGTACTCTTCCCTCTCTTTACCCTTCCCTCCTACCTTGCCAACAGAGAGGTGTACTATGTCCCAAAATACTACACTTGTAACAAAATACCTTTTGCTTGTTTCCAATGTTTTGTAGGCATAAAAAGAAGCAATAAATGATCCACTACAACTGCTCACACCATGCAAGGTTAAACACTTTCACTTTTATAAGAATAGGGCTCTATGTATTGTCTAATAGGCAAGTCTAACATGAGTATATACACATTCCTTAACTGTAAATATTATTCATCTATTGAATCAGGACCTTAATGAATGGTGTTTTTTCATATCAGTGATACAAATACACTGGATTACTTACAACAGAATTGTGTCTGATTTCTAAAACTTTATTGTGGGTATTAAAAATACATGCTTTTCATCCAAACAAAGCTTTTAGAGGTCCAAGGCAACCTTACCTGTTTAAACCCATAAGCCTCCTTTTACAAGAAATGAAAATTCAAACAGAAATAAGTTTTGTAGTTTATAGTTGTTTTGGTACTTTGGGCCTTACAAGTCCATTTCATACTTTAAGTGCCAGCTGATACTTCTAAGCTTTTAGGTCAATACCACATTTTAAATAGAAGGTTTTTATCTTGAGAATTTTAACTGTTATTTGAAAGTCAATATATTTATATCCAACTATTATTTTGTGAAGATTAAAGGTTGATTATGCTTTAATGGTACATACCTTTAATTCTCCAATAGAAGACAGAAGTCCTGCCCCATAAGCACGTAGTTGTCCCTCTTGCTTGCAAAGGCCAAATTCAATCGTAAAAAAATAGCACTGCAAAATATACAGATATTCAGATACATACAGTAGTTGCAAATGGGCACTTCGGCAATGACAATCACTACCATATTCATTCACTTGCCCAACTTCTTCAGAACTACCTGTCTTGAACATAAACTCAGATACAGCACGTTATTACTACAAAGTAACTTAAGTATCATGTTCTGCAGTAAGGGAGCTTTGAATAAAAAATGTGAGATTTTGTTTTTTGTCTGGGCAACCAAGGAGATCCCAGGAATGGCCAGTTAGGAACAGACAAGCAAGATCATTTAGTATCAAAGGCAGAGCCCTGCAGAGATTTCTGAAACCTTCTAAAACAAATGAGATGCTTTAAAATAAAATCCTGCAAGGTAGTCAGTCCGACTGTCTAGGAACCTCCCAAGATCTCTGAGATCTAGTTCAGTTTTACACTCAAGCTGATACTGCTTTAAAGGCTGCAACACAGCGAATTTACTGTAACGCATGCGTGCAAGAGCCTCCTTGAGTCCAGGCCTTGGTCTTCACTAGATTTTACTCTGTCATAAACGTCTGTCATAAATGAAGAACTAATATGGCATTTGGTTTCTTAAATTACAGAAAGAAAATGAGTCAGTCAAATGAGTTTACTTGACCAATCCATTACAGTTGCTTTTTAGGTCTACACTGAATCAGGTAACATATCTGAACTGTAAAATTCATGAGAAGCTGTGAAAGAGATGTGCTGAATGAGATATAACAGTGTGGTATCTAACTTTGCTGTACCCACCCAATAAAGTTAAATGTTAGGAAGACCTTAAGAAGCCCACATAGCCCACTGTTCCCTAAATGCAGAAGATAACAGTCTATTCTGCTCCTATGGTACTGAGTTTTAGTTTGGTTTTGTTATGAGACATCAAAATTGCTTTTGATATTAGATCAAACAGTTGAGATCAAGATAGTAACTATTTCTACATATAAAGGTTTTAGGAAGCTGATTTCTAATTTACATGAAAATATTGCACATATATACACACACACCTGTATATATGTGTGTGTGCTTATTATATTATCTGACAATTTCAGGTTTTGTGTAAAGAGACATCACTGAACCTAGCAGATTTAACTGTCTTTGCAGGAAATATTAATTTAAGATAAGAACCAACCCAGTATTTTGTACTAAGTCCTAAATTTTTCAGATAACTTAAGAATGGATCCTAACACAACGATCTTTTCCCATACAGTTCCTCCTTAATACCCCGCTCTTCCAGTATTTATCATTATCCATTAACAGCTCTTTTAAGTTCAACAAATGTTTAGAAATTCAGAAATTATTAACTACTTTGCCTCATAAAAGTTTCTGTAGAGCTAGTGACTCATGCAGCATGGCATGTAGGGGTGTAACAAAAGAAAGAATAAAAACATGCGCCCTGTGTCTGAGCCAAACCTGCTAAGTCAGCTGAGAAGAATCAGTTGCAGGAATTTCAAATGTTTTAAGTCAGATTCCATCACAGCAGTCAAAGGCACAGATATTCACCAGGTGAGGTGAAAACACAACATCATCGAAGAGAACCAAAAAAAATCAAATTTCCACCTCTGGCTTTGCTACTGACTCAGCTAGGGCAAGCTGGCATAAAATTTTTCAGTACATGCAATGAGCTGATGTCCCTACTTAGAAGAAGACAACTCGTCTCCAAAAATGTAATCTCAGGGAGAAACAGCCAGGTACACAAAATGAAACAAGTATTGCTGTAGAAGCAATGAGTGAAGCTGAGAGACCTACCACCAAGAGTACAAACACCGCTTCCCTGCCTATTTATTTTGCCAGAAAAACCTTCAAGAGCCAACAGTGCTTGTTTTCTACATGCTGACACAATCAGCAATGAACTACTCAGCTTTACACTTAAATCCCATCTTTGAATTTGCCCCCTCCTTCCCAACTCCTTTAAAGGAACCCATCAGGTAGTAGGCCATATGCTGTAAACATGAACATTCTGACAGATACGCAGCAGGATTTGGCTCCCGATAAAACACAGTGATCATGGTCATTTTCATTCTTAAAAGTAACAGTGGCTAAAACGAGGGAGTCTAGTGTTTGTCTGTTAAAGACCTGTAAGAGCAGCCATGATTTTGTCCCCATATGTGGGACACCTTTACTTTCCACCTTTCTCAGGCTGAGGAAAACCAAACCAATGTCATGCTGCTCCCTGGAGAATGCCCAACACCCACTCAGCAATCTACAGGGGCAGAGGAACAAGGGAAGAGAAACATTCTCCACTGCCCTGAGGATATGCGCTCCAGGGAATGAAAGGGGCAGAAGGCAGAGAGCTTCAAAAATTATTATAATTGTTACTATTATAAAAGGGAGTTATATTTACAAGCCAACACTTGCTGATGAGAGCCAATCTTTAGTATTTACAAGACTTGTACTCTCAGTATAACCAACTCAAATAAAACACATACAAAATGGCAATACATCTGCCTACTACTAACTTGTGGTATCCAACTATAGCACTGAGAAAAGCCCTTCAAATGAAAAGCCGATTTTTTTATAAATTTGCCATATGGAGAAATTACAATTTTGTATTTAAGAGAGTTCTGCTTAGCCAAGAAAGTGTGATAGCTCACCCAATGCTGCCATCTTCAGATCGTTAGTCAGTGATACACGATTCCCTCCCACCTTCCCACTCGCAGACATGCAGAGATGGCTCAGTGCATCAACAGAGTTTGCAGGCTTGGTAAACTGTGCTCTCAAGTCTATAAACATCAAGGCATACTGATAAGGAGGTTAAATATTAACTATATAGAGTCACTTTTTATAGACCAGACACAGAGATACCCACTAAATGCCTCTCTTTGTATGGTAAATGACAACTGTGGGACTCTATATTACACACATGATAATCATTCTGGAGTGGGAATGACTGACCAAAGAAATGGCTGTTGAGATAAATACATTTTTTAAAGCCCCACATGAAGACGACAACTGAGTATTACACTGTTGTTACAAATTGGTTGATGAATGCAAGCAGAAATGGGGGCATCCAGGCCCTCCTGTCTGACTTCAAATCTCGGACCTGTCTCTGGCATACTTCCTAGACTGTGGCCCCAGACATTTGGCTCCTCTACAAACTACAGCAACATCCTCTCATCTGCCTTTACATTCAGTTCCACCTCATCTTTGGGGTGAACTGTGGGTTTGCTTCAACCTATAGAGAGGCTCTTGAAGTTTTTGTAGTTTTTGAAGAGCCTTACACTAGAGTGTGCCCTATCAGCCAAATCAGCAAAATGAGATGAAGAATCAAAGTGCCAAATGAAGGATTAGAAATAATTTTTATGCCAAGTGACATCAATGTAATGATCAAGACTGTCAGGAGCACAAGACAGTGTTCAATACGATTTTAATTTATTTCTCTAATTTATCAAAAATATATGAAAGATACTTTACAGTTGTGCCCATAAAACATTGTCTACATGGGTTCAAAAACTGTTAATCAGATGCATGGAAGAAAATCCTATTAAGGGCTATAAAATACTAATACAGCAGATTTCTTCATTCAGAGTCCTTGAAACAAAAGTCATTGGCAGCCAAAGCAGTACATCAGGAAAATACCACCGTATGGCTTTAGACATACACTGTCCTCCAAATGTCTGCAATTTGCCTGTGTCAGAGACAAGATATTGGGATAGCTGGTCTGGTCAAGTATATGTGTGATTTTAAGAGTCAGATCAGTTGTCCTGCTATTGACAGGAAAGATACAGAGAAGATCAAGCCCTGGCAAACTCCAAAGCTGGTCTCCAGGGTAAACACAATGTCTGTTCTTCACAATCAGGTACTGCCCTGCATTATAAACTGGACTACCAAAAGAAAAAGAAAAAAATCAGTGACAGCTATGACAGCTAACAGAAAAAATCGTTATTCGAGGAGGCTTAGAAATTTTCAAAGGCAGGAATAAAGGTCTGATAAGCTCAACTCTTCTCACCTGTCTGATTTCTAAAGCTTTGAAAACCACTTCTCACATCACATCATTTTGCATTTGAGAATCTCCCTCTTGGGACCTGTGTAAAGAGCTTGTGCATGGTACTGGATGCTAGTGTCACAGAATCAGTAGTTCAAAATCTGACTTGTCCATAAAAAGGCCTTTCAAACCTTTCCACTTTGCCTAATTTTCTTACGATACAGCTTAGAGATCGATACTTGTGTTCACTTGGCAATTTTCAGCATGATGTACAGCATGAGATTTTATCTGTTCTCTAAAAGTACCTTATAAAAATGTTGTCAGGATGAGTCCTGAGAACACCAACCATGTCAAGCACTGATTTGCTTGTGCTCCCTGTCACAAGGGGGGAAGAATGAGAGATTGAGTAATTGCATGACTGCAATCCTGGGCAGGAAGAATCATCACTGTAGGAACTGCCCATGGCAAGGGGCTATAACCAAAAGCTGACATGTGGTAGCACAATCCCCTTATACATGGAGAAAATTAGTTGCCATGAAGACAATACAATTACTAATGTATGTAAGTACTTGCAAGACCAGTGCCAAATAAATATCCTTAGGAAAACATCTTTACATTGTTTCTACTGGATTTAAAAATGATTTCAAAGGATATTTGAATAGACCAATCAATTCAAATGTATGCAATATGTTCACAACATGCCAAGAATAACTCCTTTTTCTTTAGAAGTCCTTTGATATTTTAGCTCTAAAAATATCCACACAGAGATAAAATCTCTCATATAGTTGTAATTATCTCATAAGTAAAGTTATATATTGCTGAAAGACTTCTTCTAACTCCCATTATTAGAAGTTAATCCTAAGGATTAATGAAATAAAGGTGTTTTCTTTCCCCCTATAAAAAATGTTGCTCAAATTTCAAGCAACTGTTGACTCAGAAATATCTGTGACTCTCATTTGTGCTTTCTTTCTTCATTCAGAGCTAGGTGTAAATAAATTTTTGAATAGTTGCTTATTTTTCAATCTCAAAGACATCAATAGTCTGCAAAAAAAAAAAAAAAAACCAACAGCTGGCATTTCA